CAGCCTTCCTGCTCCTCTGCTGCTTGGCCTGCTGTGTTCATCAGCTCTGCACCTTGTTAACTAATCTATTTTTTGTTTTCTTACTGTGCGATCCTTCCAATATAAAGAACTGTGCCTAAAATATACACAGAATTTGGATTGGCGTAGCTTCTTCCAATACAAAATTGGCAAGAAGCTTCTCTATCTCAATCTGACAAAAACTGTCACCAAGCCAAAGATAATTGCTTTTAAGGAGGGTCTGAAAAGAGAAGAAACTGAGATAGGGAGTGAATTCCTGAACTTTAGGCCATCATGACTGAATTCACATACCTGTGAATAGCAGAATGAAGGAAGGTGCTGATGAGGTTTGGGTTATCTTTTTGTGGGATAGGGGTACAGAAGACTAAAGCTGGAGGAATTCGGAGTTCTTTGAAAGTTATAGAGATGAGAAGGGGTGATGTCGTTGATGCACCCGGATCCAAAGATGAGAATTTTAATCCGCAGAAGTCAGCAGGTATGATGGCAAGGTTGCATCACTGAGACAGGACTGAGGATGTTCAGTGCAAAATAGAAAAAAAGTATCATGTATTTTGCATGAGATCAAGATTTTGGAGCGTACAAATGGTAGGCTGACGGGGAGAGCGTTTTCTTGAAAACAGATTTCCCAAGCAGACAGCGATTTGATGCATAAGTACATTTGTTGAGCCTTCTCTTTTGAAGATTGCTGTGTACTTCTGATCTGATGTTGGGAATCTCAACCACATTCAAAATTGAGAATTAACCACACTTACTTAGCAGTTGTAATTCTTGATCCTTCTGAATTTGCATGGAAATCTATTGTCGTATTGTGTGGCAGATAAGTCTCAGTCTCTAATTCAATATCTGATAAATGTCTAATCTCAGTCTTTGCATTTGGGGGAGAAAAAGATGTATCGAGAATGTTCTCATTTCATTCTGTTTTCAGTATGATGAATAAACATGCAATCTTCTGCTCATCAGGTACAAGCGAGTCCTCTGAGATCACAGCACAAAGTGCTCTAGACCTCCTGCTGAATATGAGTACGCCAAGGGAGCTGGTTACAAACTCATTACAGGTGCAAAACTTTGAAATAACTTTCAAACTTTCAACAATTCTTGCATTCTAGAAAAGTGCACATTTTCCTCAGTTGAGTCATTGAGAGATTATGCAATCATTCAAGCTAAATAATAACTGTGGGCTGTGGGAAGGACCCCCAAGGAATTTTATTGGCACTCTTCCGAACTGAAAATCTGCCCATCAAGACATTCTGCCAGAGTTTTGTTATATGTGGTATATATTGCGATGTGACACTAAGGATGTTCTTCCTTGGCACTTTCCAGCTGCTTCTGCTTCAGCCAATACAATGCTTTCTTTTGAGTTTTTTCTTTGGGGTATCTTGTTTTTGTTCTTGGATATTCTTTACAATTTGAACTGATCTACACCTCCAGTTGCATGGCCTCTAGATAATACAATCCTATTCTGACAGTTTAGAGTTAATCATCTTATCAAAGGAGTTAGAACTTTATGTAAAAATGTTAAGACCCTAGGGATGGCCATGAGGCAACAGAATTGTCACAGCAGAAGGATAGCAGCATTATGTGCTCATAGCTTCAAGGAATCAGCTTCGGTGGAAATTGAAGGCCTACTCCAACTACTTGCAGATGTGTTCTTTTGGCTGCACTGTCTCTAATTTGCAGTGCAATTCCCTTAATTTTGTGTTAAACTTTATCTATTTCACTGCCAACCTGTTGTTCATGCAGAGTATAATTCTGTAGCACTGACACTTCCCATGTTCTGTTGGTGATAAGTGATGATAGAAATTGTCATTAGCAGGTGACCAAATACCAGGTGTCCCCAGGGTGGTCAGATTTGAGCCCTCTTTGTAAAAATGTCTGTTCCTGGCATAAATATTTTTCTCCAAAATGAGATCTACGCTATGTTCTTCAAAATAATTGCACCAGAGTATGGGGAGTATCTATAATGCGTGTCCAGAGAGCACCCATACGTTACAGTATTGCTTTCTGCCTGCATTTAATTAAAGATTATTATTGGATCCAAAATATTGTATCACTGGTGAAATGTAGGATAAAAGATGTGAGGCAACACTTGAGTATTAGTTGTGGTAATTTTTGGATGTCACGTGTTTGTTATGCCTACTCAGGTAGCTGTACTGAAATCAGACAGTACAGTCCAAGATCAGACCTCTCAGGAACCTCAAAACCGTGAGGAAGAGCAATTGACCATGTCACCCCAACACAAAATTGTCACATTGCACGTGGGAGAACATGGTGAGACTGTGGTCCAGGAAATGTACGAAACAACAACCATAGAGAGCTCTGGAATCCCACAGGTCACCATCAACCCTTACACCAATGGGACAGAATACAATGTTGTCACACCAGGAAGTGAGGAAATGCAGCATGCTGCCACAGTTTACAGGTAACATGAAAGTAAACAGTGCTAATAAGAAACGTGATTTTTGTTTTTACAGGAAGAATTGTTTCATAGAGCTGGAACTTCAAGTGCTCTGGATACTTTTTTAATCACTTTCTCAACTTGCCTTGTCACCTTTACCATTCTGTGTGAATATCTCTGCAAGTCTCTCTACATTTGCACCCTCTGTAGAATTTCCTTTAGTTTGTTTTGCCTCCCCACTTTCTTTCAACCAAACATATCACATCTCCGTGTTCTGTAATAAATTTCATCCACTGCAAATCTGTTAGTTACACCAATCTGTTTCTGTCCTCCTGCAATCGATCATGATTCTCCTCAAATTTCCTATTGCTTCCCAGTTTTGTCATCTGATTTTGAAATGATGCACTGTGCACCCAAGTCCAAGTCCTTAATAAAGATCAAGTAAAGCGCTGGTCCTAGCAGAGACTCCTTCGGTCCCCTGCTATAAAACATCCTCCAGTCTGAAATACAGTTGTTCACTCTGTTCCCTAACAGTCACCCAACTTTGTATCCGTGCTGCCACTGCCTCTTTAATTCTGTGGACTTCAACTTTGCTTCAAGCCCATTCAGTGGCACTTTACCAAATACCTTTTGGAAGTCCATACGTACCACATCCACTGTATTAGCCTACTTTATTCTGTTACCTCATCAAAAAGTTGAACCGATTTTAGTTCAAGATTGTTCAGTACAGAAAGGAGGGTCTCGACCCGAAGTGTCAGCTTTCCTGCTCCTCTGATGCTGCTTGGCCTGCTGTGTTCATCCAGCTCTACACCTTGTTATCTCAGATTCTCCAGCATCTGCGGTTCCTACTATCTCTGTTCAGTACATATCTTCCCTTTTTAACGGTTCATTTTAGAATTATTTATATCCAGTCTTTAATGAGTCAGGATTTGCTCAGTTAGGACAAGGAAGAGGAGGATTTCTCTGGAGGGTAGTGAATTTGTGGAATTCTTTACTGCAGCAGGCTGCCAAGGCTGGATTGTTAAGTATATTCAATGCTGGGATAAACAATTTTTTTTAATCAAAGGGAAGGTAGGGAAAGGTATGTAAGTTGAGGATGATCAGATCAGCCATGATCTCATGGAATGGCACAGCTGACTCAATGGACTGAGTGACCAACTTCTGCTCCTATTTTTTCTTATGGTCAAAACCTCCAATACCAGCATGTTTTTTTTCTCCAACTCTATTCAGAGCTTTTTTTTTTGAACGTTGTCATTTCATTATAATTGCTGCAGATTTCATTGAGAAACAATATCACTTTTATTGATGATTTCGGATTTTCAGTTGCTAACTAAATAACTGAGTTTCCAAATCCAACCAGGAAACATGGCTTGAATGATAAGCATATCTTTTATTTTTTCATTACTTGCACTATGTGTGGAATGGAATATATGTGTGGGGATCCTATGGCAAATTTTGACCTTTATATTTTTTTATTAGAAGTTACAGATCAAATAAGAAAAACAATTGTTGAATCAGCCAATTCTTTTCTTGTTTCAGTATTGTGCTTCTCATCACATTAAAAATTGGATCGTGTGATATACCAAGTCTCAACCATTGCCCTGAATATAACCATGATGGCAAGATTGTGATACATTTCCTGGAGTTATCAGTGTAAACTTGTTTCACTGCTTATGTTTACTTTTTGTTTTCCCTTCTCAGTGGCTCAGATGGCAGTGGAGATGTTGCCCACACTGTGGTAGTCAGTGGTGATGAGTTAAAACAGCATCATGGTCACTTCATAATGACGACCAACATGCAGGGGAATCAGTTTCAACAGATTGAGGTATGTGATCCAGCATTCTCCATTCTGTTTGGTTTTCTCCTCACTGTCTTAAAGAGTGAGTCACCAGTTAATGGCAGCAGAATAATGTTACTACACTACAAATCCAGAAAACGTTTCGACTATATGAATTTAGTTTTATTAAAAATAAGCTAGAAATACGTTGATAACAGTAAAAATTACCTCTGAGCCATTTAATTTCATTTAAAAGTCAACTATTTCACTAATGTCCTTTTAGAGGAAGGTAAGCTTCTGTCTTTCTCATTTGGACCATGAATGTGCTTGATCTTTGAAGTGTTGTAACAAGCATCCTGCTATGTTAAATCTCCTCAAAGAATAGCATCTGAACTGCAGTAGTTCAACAAAAATATTCACCATTTCATCAGTGCCTCATTCCTAGAATAAAACTTTGAAAATCCCACAAATAGCTTGATACACTGGTTGTTATCCAACTTTCCTTTCAGCTTTAGCTGAAGTGGCTCCTGTAGATGGTGGTAATGAATAGCAAAGGATCATAATCAGAGTTCCCCAATATTGAAATGCAGATTATATTTGTCTCTAATTTACCCTGTCAGTGAGTGCACATTGAGCCCACAGTTGTTAAATTTAGATTTTGGTTTAAGTGCAGAATACTGAGGTATTCAGCCATTAAGCCAGAATCTTCCTTTCTCTATGTGACTTGTATTTGATAGAATGAACAAAAATCATGTCTCCACATATTTCTTGTATTTCAATCTTGCACTTGGAAATATTGTACAAAAATCTTGACTTACTCCCATTCAATAAACCGAAATAGTTCTGTTAATGGAAGTCACAAAATACAACAGCAGTTTCTCCAAGAGGAGCTAACATTTACAAGCAGCTGCCAGTCTAAGGAAACTTCTTTCAGCAACAGAAAATATCTACTCTCGATGACCTCAAAGTAGCTGGAAGGTTCCTTAGCCCCAGTGGCACTGAACTTTGCATACCTGAAAGACATAGAACAGGATGAAACTGGTTCCATGTTCTCAACAGACAGCTTTCCTTGAAGTTGTCGCTTTCACCATTGGAAAGGGGCTCAGAAGCTCTCCTCCATTTTGAGCTCATGTTATAACATGTTGCCAGTACAATACAACATATCCTTTGACTTAGCATGAGCAGCTCCATCAGAGAGATCCATTACTCTTTCTGTACAAAACACTGTCACCCAAGGACAAATTATTCCGTCATTATAAAATGTTGATTTGAAGGATTCCATTCATCCTTCAAACGATAATACATTTCATGCCTGATGCAATTTAGGTGCGTTGTCATCGATGGACTCTGGACTCTGGCACAATGCAGTGTTGCTTCCAATTTGCTGTGTAATGCCAAAAGCTTTTAGTTTGAAGTTTGAAAGAATTCCATACAACTTTGCTGCAAATCTAGATCAGGTTAAACCATTCTTGATCCCTCTTGCCCTACACATTGCCAGCAAACATAAACGACGTAAAAAGGCCAGCGAATTATCTGTTGGAATATTGACTTGTAATTCAAGTTCAAGTCTCATATTATCATGAAGCTAAAGTTACTTGGCTCATGAGTTGGTTTAGTGGTGATGGTCCTGGGCAAATAACCAAATGCAGCCTATTGTTTGGGGAAATGTGAAGGTAACCTATTTAGTACGAACAAACTTGAAGGGAGTATTTTATTTTTATCTTATTTAGAAAAATAATTCTGGATGTTTTTATCAAAACGTCAGTTTTATTTTGTGACAACAGAGATCTGCAGCATTGGGATATTTTATTCTCGTGCTTCACCCTTGCAGACATGCTGCTTGTATCTTGGGGGTGACTTCATCGCTTCAAGACTTTAGACCAGCATAGGAAGTAGTCCAGAACCACCCAACTTGGGTTCTGTCCCCCTTTTTGAGAGGGAAAGTTAAAGATTTGCATTTCCTTTTTCAATTTCCCAGTTTACTGGTGACATCACATCTCCACAAGTTGATTCAAATCTGCAGTCATCATCAATGAAGAAGTTTTCCTGCAAAATATGTACTGCCTCATTCCATGGTCGAGCAGAGATGGAGAGTCATAAGAGAGCACATGCAGGAGAGCAGGGCTTCAAGTGTCTTGATTGTAATTTTGCAGCCAGTACCTGGCCAGAAGTCAGAGTAAGTATTATTTTCCAATTCCCTTATCCAGACCTTTTTCTTTCAGTAACCAAGCATCAAGATTGAGTCCATTTAACAGTCAGCTCAAAACTGATGAGGACTTGGCTATTTTTACTTTCTACTTGATTTGCGAGTTCCTCAGATTTTCACTAATTCAAATTTGGATCCCTTTCAATGCGATATGAGCTCAGAATTGTGCCTCAGCATGTTTGGCGTACCCCTAGCTGTAAACATCTTTTCTTTTTAATCATAGGGGCTTCATAAGAGGCATAATGGTAATGCTGTGCACTGGTGCACCAATGCACATGATAAGATGTAAGACAGACCCTATGTTTTTCACACTTATCTTTTGCTCCCTCCAATTAAAACCCACCCTACACATTTTGTGATCTTGGAATGTTCTGATCAAGGCTTAATAGAAGTACAGTGCGTGTTCTTGAGTAACTTTGGGGTGTGCTTCAATAATAGCATTAACTGATTTTATTCTGATCGCGTTCTTTGCTAATGTGGGAATCTGTCTTGCCTTCAGAACCATATGCTTCAACATTCTAACCTGAGACCTCACAAATGTAACCAATGTAGTTTTGCATCCAAGAATAAGAAAGATCTTCGCCGGCACCTGCTAACGCACACAAATGAGAAGCCTTTTTCTTGTGATATTTGTGGACAGAGGTAAATCTTTCATCAAGTGGGCTTCGCAGAATTGTCATATATTTTAATCTGCTTATGCTGAGACCCTTACTGCTTTCTGAATGTATAGTGACCAGGGATCAAATAATATGTGCTTCTGTCTCAAACTTGTGTCTAATTTATAATTTCTTAGTTAAGCAGCTTTTATTTTCACATGCACTTTGCTCAGGTTTTTTGGAAAAATGGCAGGCTTTCTTGAAAAGTTGTTACATCGCTGTCATTTGTTGTCCAAAATTCAAAAGGTCTAAATCTTGGGGGTTATGCCACATGAGGTGGCTAGGTTGGGTTGAGAACAGAAGTTGACTTATTGGCTTACCAGACTAAGGCATATTCAACATATTGTACCACCTGTATGCAAGCAAGACAAAACTACATGGGCATTACTGTTTGGAACTCGGTTATACTTGTGATCATTCTCCACAGCTGTAGTTATTCCTATGCCTGTTCTATTTCCATAACCCTTTATTTCCCTTTCCTTTTAACTATTAATCCCTGTTGACTCATTCTAGCTTCAGTCGGCATCTGTTGCAGTCCATTGTACAGTTGTACTTGTTTTTTAAAGACATTTTTCATGCTCTTTAAGAGAATAAACACTTAATTAGCCCAACTGGTCCATTTGGCCTGTTTCTATTCTGTAAACTCTGTTTTTTTTTTTGTAATCTTATCTCTTTCTCCCTGAATTCCTAGGTGTTCCACCACTTAAGTCTGACTTGTATCTTCTGTCCCCTCTTCACAATTTTGAGCTATTAACATACAAATTTATTATTTAATTTCCAAGTGTTCTAATTAAGGTTTTTATTTCCTTATTGGCATTTCTTTGAACAGGGCAACATTCTAGTGAATATGTGATGTATACTTTAATTGCCTTGGTATCTTCCTACAATGCGGAGCCCAAGCTGCACAGTACTCCAATTGTGATGTTGCTTGTGTTTTATACAAATTCAATGCAACTTTTACCTCATCGAGTCTCCTATCATGATACAAACTATCTTATTATTTACACTATGGCTTGTTTTTCTGTTGCATCAACTTTATATATCCTGCTGTCCCTCTACTCCAGTTCACATCTTTTGTCATGACATCTTTTTACCATTTTACTTTAAATCCTCCCGGAGTTCTCCACTTGTACTGTACTCAGTGGAGCTTAGAAGGATAAGGGAGGATCTCATTGAAATTTACAGAAAAAGTAAGAGGCCTGGATAGAGTGCACATGGAGAAGATGTTTCCGCTAGCAGGAGACACTGGAACCTGGGGGCACAGCCTCAGTAGAAGGGATGACATTTTAAATCTGTGAGAGGAGGAATTTCTTCTGCCCAGAGGGGTGCTGAATCTGTGGAACTCATTGTTGCGGCAGGCTGTGGATGTCAGGACATTGAGTGTATTTAAGACAGAGGTTTTGAATAGTTAGGGGATCAAGGGCTATGGGGAGAAGGCAGACGAATGTGGATAACAAACATATATCAGCTATGATCGAATGGTTGTGCAGACTTGATAGGCTAAATGGCCTAATTCTGCTCCTTTTATTCTATGGTGTTGTCTTCTGAAAGTATGTCACAATGAGACAACTCAAGGTTATCCTTGTTCCAAAGTATCATTGATATTCATAAAAACCTATCTTGTTCAATAATTTCCATTTTGGGGAAGGAAAACTCCTATTCTTACCTTATGTGGCCTACCCATGGTTCCAGACCCACAGCAATGTGGTTGACTCTAAAATGCCCTCTGAAATGGCCCAAGAAGCCACGCTGAAGTGCAATTAGGAAAGGGTAATAAATGCTGATTTTGCCAGCGGCATCCACATTGTTTCAAAGAGTAAGGCGGGGGGGGAAAGCCGGGAATGGGTGGGTAGGTAGATTCTTTTCCGCATACCAACTGTTCAGTTCTGCATCAGCCTTCCTGATTGTCCTCTCCTGTGTGTGACATTGGCAGCAATTTGACGATTACCAGCCTCGTGTTCTTGTTTCATTAAATATGTGATCCAATGTTTTAAACTCACTCTGCAAGACCTCAAACTGATATCTCTGAACCTGACTCTTAGCAGTTCTTCCTATGTTTCTTGGAGTTTTCCACTTTTTTGTTTCACTATGTCCTTCATCGTGATACTAAACTTGAAATCCATCTGGTCATCTAGATCACCCAGCATTTTCCCCCATTCAACCTAAACCACCTGCAGTTACTGGTTGGTAATGTCACTTGTGATACTGTACCAAAATAAAAATTTATTTGATCCATATCTTGTAAACCTAAGCGGTAGGAGTTGATTATTAAACCACCAGTTCTTGGTTTTTTTTTGAAAAAGCTTTGACTTGCCAATCTTCTTAAATTGGAATCTGTCCTTTTACACAGCAATGCTGAGTAAAGTAATCAAATCTAGTTTGTACAATGGGAAAACTTTGTTAAATTGCTATTGTATAACTCAAAAATGTGTCTTCAGTTTAACAGTATTCAGTGAAACAATTTTTTTTCAAAAATTTCCATTCTTTTTAAACAATGAAGGTTTAATCGAAATGGCCATCTGAAGTTTCACGTTGAACGATTGCACAGCTCTGACTCTCAGCAGAAGCAGCCTCGACAGCAGCATGTCATTCTGAACAGTGATGACGAAGCGATTGGTAAGTTCAGTTTGGTCCAGACTTTCTCCTCTCCAGGGATTAGTTTATGGAACTGTCGGTGTTTTTTTTTTTTTTTTTTTTGCTTATATATTTAAATGTTGATAAATCAAATCAGAGCCCAAAGATGTGGCTGAAACATTGACACAAAAGAAACAGAATCTCATCGTTGTCACATTATTTGTGGAACCTTGCTTTGTGCAAATTCATTGCTGTGTTTCTTTAATTACAAAAGCAGCTGCATTTCAAAAGTATTTGTTTGGCTGTAAAGTGCTTTGGGATGCCCTGAAATTGCTGAGGCTGCTATTTAAATGCACGTCATCTTGTCCTTTAGACTAACTGTTAGACTCAACAGTGAGTCTCCACCATCTTGTTGCTAGTGATGTGGCTGTCACACTCTCAAACATATGCATTGGGAGCAAAAGTAGTCCATTCAGCGTTTCAAGCCTGCTCTGCTGTTTGATAAGATAATGACTGATCCTGATTGTGGCTTCTACTTTTCTCTTTACTGTTATCCTTATATTGTTGATCATTGATTCCCTCAATGTAATTTAGCCTTAAAAGTATTCAGTGACCCTGCCTCACTGCTTTCTGGGGAAGAGAATTCCACAGAACCAGACCCTCTGAAGGATAAACATTCTTGTCATCAGTGTATTACATTTTCAAACTGTCTCCTGGCTTTAGTCTTTCCTATAAGAGGAAACATCCTTTTGGCATCCATTCTGTCAAAACCCCTCAGGATCATTATATATTCTAGTAAGATCACCCTTAAAGTGACCGAAGCTATACACAATACTCTAGATGTTGTCTCGCCAGTGCCCTGTACAAATATATGGTAAATCCTGCCTGCTTATATATGCCACACTCCTTGTAATAAATAACAACATTCCATTTGCTCCCAAATCACTTGCTATACTTGTGTACTTTATATACCCGGCTACCTAGAAATCTCTACATCTCAGTTCTTCAAACTCTCTCACAAACTGTCACACACTTAAGTCCTCCATTAACTGGGTTCATGACAAGCATACACTTTATTCCCTCATTCTGTCTGGTAACTTAAAATGACATCAGTGGATTTTTCAGTACTTTCTTTTAATCCTTTCTCTGTCATGATGGATATTAATATGATTGAGACAACTTTTTAAAAAAAAAAACACTTACCCATTGCAAGGTGAAAGATATACCGTAGTAATATACTTTGCTGAAATTCTTTGAGAAGTTGGAATGCATTCTTGGTCGGTGGTGATGGACAATAGATCAATAAAAATAAATGCATAACTGAAAGTATGCGGGTGGCTGCTCCCTATTCTTTCATGGCTTGATGTCCACTTGGGCCATGGAACTTTGGCTGAACAGGCCAGTTCTCAATCCACATATCTTCATGCAGGTGGAGAAAGATGTCCCGTGAGTTAGCCAAATTGGGGGTCTAGGATTTACTTTTGCTTACTTTCCCTGCTGCTGTGTCTCATCATGTAGGCATTTGAACTTGAAGCATGATGGACAGGTCAGTGTCAGTCTGAAGGCTAGCAATCTTCTCCAAGTCATTCATGTCAATGCTGCTAGGAGAGTTGTGTTTAGAATATAGCAGCACTAATATTTTCAAACAATTCTTTGTGTGTGAAGCTATATTTTCAGTTAGAGATTGTGCTTGAAAACAGAAATTGTATGTCTTTTTTATGCCCTCTTCTCTCTCGTTAAATAAATTCAGCGCAACAATGTTACATCCATTACAGTCGAGTATTGTAAAATAGTTCTCTGCATCTTCAGTAAACCTGAAACAGAATAGTTTGATGCCCGTTCTCCTTGGTTTTCTACCAGAGATAATCTAAAGGGGGTTAAGTTGAAAAAGAACGGTCTGGTGTCAGACAGGATACTACAGTGTCACAATGGCAGATACCAAGGAATGTTTAGCCTGCTCTGAATAAAGCTGTGCTGTTAATATTTTCTCAAAAGAGTAAACTAACTAATTACCAGCCATAATCTGCTACAATGGGGATAAAATGGCATGAAAAGCTCCATAAATCTGTTGGCATCTAAATCCAGGTCAATGATTGCTATTGATGGATTCTCAGCTGAAACAGTCATTTCTGTGTGTTTACTACTTTCACCATTTTGTTCCCATGAGCTGTTTGACTTTTTTCCTCTTTTGTGATATGGGCTTTGGCTGGCATTAATGTGACTCCAGATCCACAGCGATGCAGTTGACTTGAACAGACTTAATAGTCAACTGCATCGCTGTGGATCTGGAGTCACAATAAGTCCAAACCAGATAAAGTGATAAATTTCCTTCCGTAAAGGGTGTTGGTGAACCAGATGAGTTCTTACAACAGTTATGATAGTTTCATCACCACCATCACAGGCTAAATTTCAATTCCGTACTTGCTTAGGTTCAAATTTCACTACGGCAACTGGAGGAATCTATGTCCCAGAGCATTCACCTGAACACTTGCTTTACTAGTCAAGTGACATGACCAGTGCGCCACTATCACTCCCAATAACACCACTCCTAAGAAAAGGAGTCGAATTATCCCTCTCCATTGTCTGTTCAATAAGATCATGGCTGATCTTCCATCTCAATTCTAGTTTCCAGTCATATCTTGTTCCCAGAATGAGTTGCTTGGGATTTGTTTCCATAGGTTCACTTGTGTACAGTGATTATGCCTAAGTTTGACTATGGTTGACTTCACAACAGAACATCATCTTGTATTGACAGAATCATTTTTCAAGAGACCTTGAAGACTTTGTTTTTCAGTAAACTGGAGGTATTCCTAATGTAGGGATGTTGAGGCCATTTTTAGAACTGCTGGATGAGTTATGGCTGATATCAGCCACCTCATGCACAATATTGAATGTGGTATTTTGTTGCATTATTTGACACAGCTGTTCACTGTGTAAACTTGCAGAATCTTGCATGTTCCTTTCTGGATGTTCTTCTCAAATTTCTTCTTTCAATTTTGGAAGCTGAGATTTTTGGAAGGAGTAAAGCTAATTGAGTCCTGTGCTGACTGGAGAAAACTTTTTGTACCCACTGTGCAGCTCTGCAAACAGATGAAACAGTTGTTTCACCAGACAGATTCCAGACGTTGGCCCCAGATCACATCATTGTAGCCCAGGAGCAGTCTATTTCTGACCAGGTAAGTGGCGTGTTGAGTTCAGTATCCTGAGGCTTAAGTGAGTTGGCTGAAGTAAATTTTTGTCTCTTTCAAACTGCTTTTCAATTTCTCTTCTTTATTTTTTCTAACAAGTTTGACATAATTTGCTTCTCCATTGTACCCATTCTATACTCCCCCACCAGGATGAGACAACGTACATTCAACATATAACATCTGATGGACAGACTGTTCAACACTTAGTTACAGCAGATAACCAGGTACATTTGGATAGCTCTCTATTCCCTTCTTTCTATTTCTTCGCTCCTTAGTGTAGTAGGTTATTCAGTTCTAGTCAATTAAATAAGTGGCCTATTTACTCTCAAGGGTTCCCTAATCTTTGGTATGTAAAAGTATTGACTAGTAATCTATGTCTCCTCTTCTTGTTTTTACCTCAGTGCAGACATCTGAGGTCTGTGCACAGCAGTGACTTCCACAATCCGAAGTTAATGCTGGGAACGCCAATCAGTCTACACGGACCCTCACAGCCGTGAAGCTTGGAGGAAACATTGTCAGAATAATATTTTTTTTGAGTACGCTTGATAGGCTGTAGCCTTTCAGGAAGGTGGCTCATCACCAACTTCTAATGTGGTGCAGTACATTCACAGTGCTGACATGAAGGGTGTTCTGGGATCTTGCCCCCACTGACGGGGAGAAAATGGCAATACAGTTCCAATTTATCATCATGTGTGTCTTGGAAGGGGATCTTACAGCAGGTGGTATTCCCATTGCATCTGCCCTTGTCCTAGAGATGGTGGGTTTGATAGCTGCTGTTGAAAGAACCTTTGATGGTGAGTTGCTGCAGTGCTGCTTATAGATGGTGCGCACTTGCCACTGTATCATAGGTGGAGGGTTTGAATGTTTAATGTGGTGGCTCCAATGGTGTAGTTAGAGCTCTGGAATGAGAGGATGAGAGACTGACATTTGATCTATTTATTGTCATTGGAAATATTATATAGTTTATTCTTTAGGCTTGAGGGTACTTTTTTTTAATTGATCGCTGCAGGCCTAACCCCGCTTTTAAAAAAAAAAAAAAAAAAAAAAAGTCCAACAGGTAAATGTGAATTCTTGGGGATAGTTATGAGTATTGTCTTCATCTGCTGTCAAAGAACCTGGAGTGAACCAGCAAAATAAAATGGTTCAGAAAGGTTAGGTGTTTATAGGCAGGTGTTTTACAAAGGTTTTAATGAAGTTTGTTCACTCATTCGAGGGCATTGTCATTGAGAACCAGTTTAGCAGTTGTACTAATCATAGTGGATGCAATTATCTGTTATTTCAGCCAACTGCATGTTGTCATATCTTTTAATCGCTTTGTGACCTTGATTCTTCCTTTGTGTGCCATCGTGTTTTGTGCCAATCGTGCCCCATTGCATAGCTCATTTTACAATGGATTTGCCATACTTTGAGATTCTCCACGTAGATACAGGAATTGCTTCAGTTCAGCATCACGTAAGTTCAGATCCATGTTTGGAACCTTTTAGTTCCAACTAGTTACTCAGCACCCACCAGTATAAGGCATTTCGAATAAGCAGTACTAAGATTCTAAAGTAGAACCACAAGTAATACAACAAAATGGTACTAAGGCTGTAGTCACAAACTTCAAGATCACCAGTTCCCAACTCTCCAGTTGATAAGGTGCTGTGTTCTGCTCTATTCTTGTTGACGACAGAGTACATTCTCTTTATTTCCTTCTGAGGAAGGGTCACCAGACCCAAAACGTTAATGTGTGTTTTTCCTTCACAGATGTTGCCAGACCTGCTGAGCTTTTCCAGCAACTTTGTTTTTGTTCCTGACTTGCAGCATCCGCAGTTCTTTCGGTTTTTAATCTTTATTTGGTTGTTGTAGTGAAGGCCACAAGACTCTTGCATCTTTTTCGGAACTAGCTTTGTGCCATATTATGTAGTTTAGCCTTAGGTGGGATAAAACTTCATCTTGGTCAATCTGATTCATTTACCATTATTTCATTATTGTCTAATGACTGCAAATGTTTCTCATGCATGATATTTTTGTTTATTAAACAGGCAGCTGTTTAGCTAATGTAATTAATGCAACACCATTTTTTAATCTTTGCTATTGCTTTATTATGCAGTGCAATGGAGGAAGATGCTTATCCAATGTCCCAGTCAGCCAAAGGTCAGAAGGCTTTCTGACCCAAGCTTTTAAAACAGCTTAACAGTTCTTTCCACTGTACCCCATGCACTGGAATCATACCTGACTAAATTGCTTAAAAAATTTTGCTTTGCTGCTTGACATTCGTTGAATTCAAATTTTCCATTATACGTAGAACAATTTCACGTAATCTCATACTGTATGTTTTCCATAGTGTGTAGAAATTCATTTTAAAAATGGAGTTCATAGTAGGCTGTAATTAACTTATGAATCAGGAAGATGTTGTATTTCACTGAAATAAATCACAGTTGTGTTCTCCAATCCAACTGACCAAAGATTGCTGTTCTTTCATAAACCTAACAAGATTCCCCTCTTCTCTAAAGGTGCAGTACATCATTTCACAGGAAGGTGTACAACATCTTGTTCCACAGGAGTATGTAGTTGTCCCTGATGGTCACCACATTCAGGTAAGTGCCAGTTGTCTGTGATACACACCAGAAGCTCATTAAGAACAGGCGGGCTAAAAGAAAGTGCTAAATGTCAAGTATCACTGGGGCATGAAAATACTGAACTGATGCTTCAGACTGGGAGGGTATCACATAGTGGTAATGTCACTGGACTATTAATACAGAACCCTGGGCTGCTGTCTTGGATACATGGGTTCAAATCCTACCGTGGCAGGTGGTGAAACTTAAATTGAATAGGATCTGGAATTAAAAGCTGCCTAGTGTGATTATGTAACCATTGTTTGATGTAAAAATCCATCCAGGTCATTAATGTGTTTTAGGGAAGGAAATCTTGTGTTTTTACCTGATCTGGATGAAATGTGATTCCAGACTCCAGCAATGTGGTTAACTGCCCTCCAAAAATGACCTAGCAAGCTACTCTGTTGTATCAAACCACAATGAAATTAAACAAAGAAATGAAACTGTACAGACCTCACTATGTTGAGCTAGGCACTGGAAACAACAACAGCAAACACAGTCCAGTAACCCTGCAAAGTCCTCCTAATATCTAGGAATTTGTGCCAAAATTGGGAGAGCTATCCCACAAACTCAAACAACATACTGACATTGTAAGGTATGATTCTGTAAGTGAGACTGAGTCCTCAACACTACCATCATGGATATGTCTCGTTCCGCTGGCAGAAGCCAGTGATTGTATAATAGTCTTAGTTGGGAGGAAATTGACCTGGATGTCCTCAACATTCACTTAGGACTGCATGAAGTCACATGGCATCCGGGCAAACATGGGCACTGAAACTATTTGCTGGTCATCATCTGCCACCTGATTGCAGCTGACGAATCAGATTCCTGATGTTAAACACCACGTGGAGAAAGCGATGAGGGTGGCATTGGCACAGAATATTTTCAGGGTGGGGGAGCCTCAGTATCCATCACAAGTGTGTGTTTGGCAGCACCACTACTAACTAAGCTAGTCAAGTGTTAATGGACATACCTGCAGCATGGGTCTGCAGCAGGTAGTGAGGGAGAAACATATTTGACATCGTCTTGCCAATCAACCTTGTTGTAGCTGCATCATCCATGAACGCATCAATAAGAGTAATTGTGTTCATGATGAGATCCTCATCTTCATATTGGGGATGCCCTCCATCATATTGTAAAGCACTACTACTGTGCTAAATAGGACATGCTTCAAACTGATCCAGCAGCTGGACATACATGAGGTATTGTGGGCCACCAGCAGCAGAAACACATTTAACTACAACCTGTAACCTTCTGAATGGATTTCTATCAGTCACCATTCCTTTGTGCAAGAGGATTCTAAACTAGTGAAAGTCGCATGATGTGGGAGCCATTTTGCTGTCTGCCTTTAAATCAGCAAAAGCTCCTTCCACACGGTGAATTCAGTGGAAAGCCATCAAACTAGCTATGAATAACTGAACTTCCAAACAGCAATACCCTGAAGATGGGTGACTCCAATCAAGGGAATGTTCCAACTTGCAAGTTCACCTGAGAACCGATATCCAGGAAATTCAACAAAATGAAATCTTATGGCTTACTGAGAGAATTTTGCATTACAAGACTTTCACTTCAACTTTTAGCATGTCAGCACCATCTAAGAAAGTACTGGCCTGCCAAGAAAAAGACTGATAGTTTCAGGTGTAACCATTTTTGAAATCGCCCTTTTGTTTCCGAGATGCACGACTAAGACATTTGTGTTTTAAAATCTGAGGTAAGCGTGTGATAATAAATGCCATTCTTTAGTTTAAGAAGCTCAAAGTTTACTGCTCAAATTGTTTAATTGGGACAGTGGCTTTGAAGGTAACGAAAAAAACATCTTTTATACAATATGCTGATCATAGGCAGGCGAAGGAATATATAAGCTCAGTTCTGAGGAAGGGTGACCAGGCTCGAAACTTTATCTCCGATTTTTTTTTCTTCACAGATGCTGCCAGACCCGCTGAGGTTTTCCAGCAACTTCTGTTTTTGTTAGCTGATTTACAGCATCCGCAGATCTTTCCGGTTTTACATAAATTCTCTATTGGGCACCAGCCTGATGTGGGAAACTTCCCATTGCACTTCCACAGTTGTTCATTCAGCCATATACCCCTACATCAAATACTCCCTCCTTTGTAAATCTCCCTGCACTCCTTTTTCCTAACCACTGCGTTTAAGACTTGGTGACATCTCTTCCATGTCCAAGATATGCTACAGGATTGCAGATTGTTGGTTTTGGGAGAAGGTATTGTGTCTTGTATCTTGAGCCAGTTGTCTGGAAATGCAGGATTGGCCTGCGTATGATGTAGGCTTGCTCAGTTTTCCTATTTGCCACTTTCCATGTCAGATCTGCTTGTGATCCTTGACTGAAAACTCATTGGTAATTTGTCAGATGGAGAATTGTGGGTGAGATGTTCTGCAATACTGGGTAATGCACTACCTAGAAATGTTTTCAGAACAGCTGTATTTGTATTTTGCTCCTGTGAAGCTGGGGGATGCAGGTGCTAGTGAATATGATTTTCAGTGTTGAGCCCTGAAGTATTAGAAAGGTCAGGAACGGTGCAGTTAAGTGCAGAATAGCCCTGCTTTCATTTAGTCCTAACAATGAGCCTCCATCCTAACCCCACAGGGGTGTCGCTACTTCGTGAACAGGGCACTCTTCTCCTTTTAGCTGCCTGAATGATACTGTAAATTGTAGCAGTTTTATAGTGTGCGCCTACGTCTGCTAAGAATTAACTTGAGGCCTGTCTGAAATCATTTCATACATGAACCATTACAACTTGAAAGCGGAGGAGACTTTCCACCCATCGGTGCAAGCACAAATAACTTGACCTTTTAAAATGCAGCTTCTTAAAAATTATATAACATTGCTTGTAATTGAATGAAAATTCTGTTTGTATTTTTGAATTCAGCCAGAATCTAATCTTGTGACCTATTCTTCACTGAGATTGTGCATTTAAATTCTGGCTTTATACATATCACTGATTTTAATTGTTACCACCATTGGCAGCTATGCCTTCACCTACCTAGTCTCATCTAAGTTCCGAAACTCTCCTCTTAAACTTTTCTGCTTGTCTATACCTCTCTCTCCTTTTTGATGTTCCGGAGTTAAAGGTACTATATGAACAATGTTTCCAACTGGTCTTGTACTTTATTAATTTGCTGATGCTCTCCACAGGTACAGGATGGTCAAATACACCATATACAGTATGAATCAGATCCACAAATACACCAGGTCTTAGAGGGACAACAGGTATAGATTTTCCCTATTGAAATTGTTTCTAAAATTAAATAGATCATTACATGGAATTAACTCAGATTTGTTTTGACTCGTTAGCGGTTGACAATATTGGCAACAGGAAAATGTATTCTTTGCTGTTATTACAGAACAGTATATATCCCTGGTTCTTTAAATAATGCTCAAACAATTACTTCAGTTGCTGGTGTGATTCTTCCAATGCTACATTCTTTATAATTTTTTTGTATTTGTGGTGATATTATGGCTTTAATGTGTATTTTGCCCTTTTTTTTATTGAATCAAAACACACTTCATTCATCTGATTTAGTTAAAATATGACAAAAGAAAGAAATTGGAATAACAACTATTGGAAAACTTAATAGAATGATGAATTATTTAACTACTAAACAGTAACTGTTCCAATACGGTAACATCCCATAAACACACCCTCGGCAAAGGCAAATTCGGTAAAATAGATTGTCTCACATGCAGTTCTCCAATCCAGGAGAAGAAACATCAAGAGCTTCAAGACCCCAGTGAAAAACTAGATATCCTGGTTCTGTGGGAGTTTGAGCCCACCCATTTAGACTGCTTCTATTTTTCGATCTTTAGAAAACAAAACCCCAAGGCCTCTCAAGCTATTTACTTGATGGGCTTTGAAGCAGACTGCTCTTCACCTCTGTCTCTACCTCCCTTCATTAAAGAAAAAAGGACAAAATACGCCTCTTAAAACCATAGTATCATCACAAGTTTGATATCAGAAAGTAACTGTGGGATTAATTGACAACCCTGTTGACTAGTGATCAGGAAAATGAGAATCCTAACATTCTCCCCTGCCTAACCAAGGTTATAACACATCAACAACTGCTATTCTAGACTTTGAAATGAGTTATGAACCTGAAGCTCACATCTTTGAGCTACCCAGATACATGAGGAATGATGGTGAGCATGGTGTGATGTCTGCAGTCTGCCACTAAATGGCCAGCCACAAGCACAAATTGGAGCAGATACTTGTAATTCTTGCTGAAGGAACAAAATACTTAAGAACAAAATCTTGGCAGTTTAATTGATATTAGTTGAATGAGTTATATGCCGTCATTCAAGATAGTAAAGAAATTTGATTTCAATGTATTATGTAAAGTTCTCCTTTTGTGATGGAAGGTGGCTTGATTATTTGATTAATACTGTGCTTTGATTCATTTTAAAAATAATTCTTGTCCATTCCTGCTTAACCAAGCCCAGAAACCTTGTGTCAGAATCACAATTATATAGTTGTTTTCTCCTTTTGGTAGTAATCCTCATAATTTTATTCATAACTAATTCCACCCCCTTTAAAAAAAGCTACTTTACAGATTAAAATTTGGTGAAAATGAGTACTCATTTTCAAGCATCTAGGCTATATTTTATGGTAAAAAGTGTTTTTTTTTCAATTTGGAGTTTTAATTTTTCAAATCTACAAAATGCATGCTGGAAAAATTGTGGTTAGGTATCATGTGAAGGAAAATGTTTATGTAAAGTTGCCAATACTTCCATCCCCACTGAAATTCTATTATGTGTTCCAGTATGGTAATAATCATGCTTTTCAGATACATGACCTCTGCACTATGCTGTAGCACATATCTATTGCTGTCAATCTATTGATGTCATTTTACTTTACTAAGATTGCAGTAAGCCATGATGGACAGATCCAGTATGTGCCAATCACTGACCAGCAAATAGTCACACAAGCTGAGCTAGAAGCTGCTGCACACTCTGCTGTGACAGGTAGGCAATGACCATGATCGGTCCTGGTGAGACGCAGTGATATTTGGTGCTAATCAGAACTGTGAACTGGTCATCATGTAGGTTCCCAGAATAGCTTCACTTAGCTAATGAAGGTCTTGCAATTTCAGTAACTAGATCGGTGACCAAATACAATGCATGCTATCGTGTTATCAATATATTTCTGCTTTTCAACAATTGATGCCTGAGTATTATTGATAATCTATTTCTTAACAGCATCTTTAAAACTTGTGCTTTCACCTTAATAGGTAGCTCCTGGATATTTCTCAATTCCCTTTTCTTTAAAAAAGCCCTTTTAAAATGCCTCAAACCACCTTCTATTTGCCTCAATGGCCTTCTCTGCAAATTAGATTCATGGAATAATTTATTTGGTTCATAGGTCATTTATTTTTAAAAGCTGAGAAATGTTCTATTGTTACTAGTTCTTTTAATTATTCCGTTACTTTAGCCTCCCCGCCTCCAAACATTCAGTCCAGGAGGGTGGTAACTGGTGGGGATCCTGCCACTTTGAACCTCCATCTTCATTGAACAATTGGTGGGAAGACCCAGGGATGGCCTGCTTAATCCTCAGGCCCTTTATTTGGCAATTAACTGCCGTATCTTTTTGGTGCAGCAAGTGGGCCTGGCACCATTTGAGTTGCTTGTTACCAAGTGGGCAAACCAGTTGGTAGAGATCCACAGGGGAGGAGCGGTTGCAGGCAGGTAGGTATCTCTGGTGCTGGCTGAAATGCCCCTCGTTCAAAGGCACTGTGTCTGGCATCGGTGGGGGGGCTAGTGCGAGTGCTGCTAGGAGCTGCAACCCCTCCTCTCCTCTTCTACAACCGACCTCCAAACCCCCTTCTGTTATCACTGTCGCATATCTTCAAGGATTGATTACCTGGGCTTCAGGTGGCTGTCTTTTCTTGCAGTAACCACTGCCACCCAGTGGCATTGCTCAGCAAATGATTTGGCAGCCTCTGACTAACAGCTCTTAGCAGATAGGTGTCCTATCCTGTGGAAAGCCTGGCAGTGATCTCCTGCAACTGCCTGATTGGCAAATAACATCAATGAACCTTTCGGGGTGGAGACGATACAGGTGTCTTGTGGGTCCTCCAGCTAGTGACTGAGACAGTATGGAGTCTGACTGTTGAATAGATTTGTACTGGTATGTATGTAAAATCAAAGTCTGGGACAGTCTATATTTTTCAATGCTGGGCTCAATACATTAAGTACTTAATCTACCTAACTAGGCAGCGCCTCCATTGAATTCCTGTGGAGGGTGCCACATTGTTCAAGATACTATATTTTGGATGAGTTGTTAAATAGGGGTGCCCTGTGCCCCCTCAGGTAAATGTAAAATTTGAATTATACCCAGTCTTCAATTATTGAAATCCATCAATCAACACCTACACCTCCACACCCATAGGATGATTAAATAAGCAACTTGCAGAATTTCTGAAACTGAATATGTACTCCTTTTTCAAAACAAAAGTTCTATATAACTACTAATAGTGAAACTCTTTAAAATACATAAACTAATGGATTACCTATTAAAAAGACACCATGCCAGTTCAAACCGTATTTCTTAGCACTTTTTTTCCCTTTTATAATAGAAAGGAGTTGGTCTTCTTAACACTCTCTTTATTAGCTTTTAAAAATATAATAAAGGAAGGGCAGACTTGCACTTAGTTGTTTAGCTGAAAGAGAAAAGACAACTTTATGTGCCCGTTAAAGATCAGTTCTGAATTAGATCTCTGAAAAGTTTATCAATTTTACTCAAGATTGCTTTTGTGTTCTGTTTTGAAAGGTGAACTGATAATTTGTTTTTCTCCATAGCTGTAGCAGATGCTGCCATTGCTCAGGTCCAAGGGATCTACGCAACTGAGGCTACAGAAGAACAAATACAGCAGCTTCAGCAACAGGCAATCCAATATGAGATGGCTCAAGCTGAGGTTATTGCATACTCTGAAGACTAAAACAATGCAAATGGCAGCAGGAGAAGATGACTTAAGCACTTTTTAATTTTTAGAGAGAGAGAGGGGTCATTGAGGATAAGAGACAGACAAATGACTGATCTCCTTTCCCTGCCTTGTAATACTTTTGGTTTGCTCCTTAGATTATCCCGAATACTTGCATGAAATGAGCTGAAAAAAAAGCACATCTGTACTTTTTATTCTTTCTCTTTCACTTTCTATCTACCCACCCACACCCCCAACTTGTCAACAGGACTATTGACCAATTTGCAAATCACTTGGTAGTGAATCCTCAAAAACAGCCCCCATTTTCAAATGCCCTTTTTGATAGTTATTAAAAGGTTCAGCACAATGTTTAACAGCTGATGAACCTGTGCAGTTTCAAAAAAGTTCTTGATTTTTGACAAACGTTATGTACACAGATCTATACATGACTTATATTTATGTTTATGTATATAGAATATATACAAAAATATTATGTATAGATTATTGAATTGCTACAGGTGAATTATAAGGCAATGACCTAGTTGAGGAACTTAGTTGTTAGATCATTGCCTCTTGTTTTCCATTTTAATATATAGCAGATATTGAATTTGGAAAAAAAATTACCATTGCAGTAATCTAGTCTGTGATGTAGAATTTTGTTTTCAAGGTAAAAGAACAAAATGTTCTTGCTATTTTGTCTTTCCTTTTGATTTTATATGTGGGGAATCTGAAATTGTATTGGATCACGTTATAGGATGTGTAATAACTTTTTTGGGAACAAAATTCCAGTTTGAAAAATTTGTGCTTGGTGCATATTGAAATCAAGTTTAAAATGTTGGAAGGAATTCTCCCTTTCCCATCATACTCCTAATAGTTAGGTGTGTAATTGTACTGACTAGGAGGATGTTCAACCGTAAGAACCAGGAAATGTCCACCTTAAACCCAACTCCCTATTGTGTTGGCTGATTTCAGCTCTGCATCAACTGGATCATTAACTCTGGTCCCTGTTGTAGTGATTAACAGTAAGCCAATTTGGCACCAGTAATGAAACTTACTTGGAAGCTTTTAACAGGAAAACAATTTGTAGGGAACCTTTTCACATATTATGGACATCTAGATATAGCCCTGTTGAGAATAGTGATAATAAAGCACAAGGAAGCTTGTCTGTGACAGGGTTACAGTCTCATAACAGGTCAATATTTATTTTCTCCTGGTCTGAATGTTGAAGAATTTCACTTGTTAAAACATCAGCCTAGCTTGCACCATATCAGGGAATCCATATTGATTTGACGGTTGATATCTCCAGATTTATCTAATTAATATTTCTTGGGTTGCATAAAGAACCATTCGAGTTTAGTAATGCTCACCACATTCAATTTTGTTTGTTAGACCATCCATTTGGTTGCTTTCATAATGCTGGAATCAATAATCCATCAGTACAACCTGCCATTGACCAGTTTTTGCATTTTCCCATGAACACGTCCTGCTAATATTGCGAAATTAAACTGTACATACAGTATTGTACATAGAATAATTTATTGCATAGGATGAGATATTTTGCTTACCAAATGGCTTAAAATGATTACAGTTGACTCTTATTACCTCAACTACAGTGGATTCTACTTTTGCTGTCTTTGTCAATTGTGGTTACTGTTTGTTTACTGAGACCTTATTCTCTTCAATACATTGCATTCATTTTGTAATCACGCATTCTCCCTTTGTTTTTCTAAGAAGCATTTCCACTTGTACATTTTCACTACCATTATACTGATACTTATGCATAGTTGCGAAGCACTTTTAGAAGTATAGTTATGAAAGCAGTATTGGCTGCAAATCTCATTGTATGCATGGTGAAGTGAGGGGGTGTAATACCATTCCTGGTAGATAGTCTGAACCCCACATGGGCATACCACTTGGTGTAATGCATCTCTAGTCTAGTACAAAATCACACTTCTGAAAAAAATCGCTTAGTTTTGTCGGACTTGCTGAGGACTTCCCAATCATTTATTGTTATGACAGTCCCATCTTCCAAACCTTGAGAATGCACTGATTGTACAGCAGAGTACTGCTGTTTTGTGCTAGCAGTACCAGGGCTGTGTTGCAGGGGACCTCAGCCAGAAATGGTCTAAATCTGAGCTCAATCTAAAATCTGTGCAATTTGCTTCTTTTCCTGCTCTCACCCTTGCATTTCTATTAACTGGTCGTTGAGAAGGAACTATGTAATTATTCAATCACTAGAAAAAATGGTGAGCCTAGCTAATTGAATTCATTTCACTCGGTTTATTGAGAAATTCACTCTCTACATCTGCTATTATCCCTTAAAATAACTAAGTAAATTTTTGTGCTAACCAACTAAACATAGCAATAAATGGAGTCTATTATTTGAGACCTGAGTTTTTAAAACAGTTAGAATTAGTATAATGATAGGTCCATGTGGGCACCACTGATGTAAGCAGGGCTAAGAAAAATAATTGAGCTGAGGGTGTATGAGCAGCAAGTGACTGAAATAAAATGCAGATTCACAAAAGGTGATTGTCTGGATTATCATCTGAGTCACAAACAAATTGACATGGGGTAAATTAGATCACAGCTGAAACTTATGGCTCAAAGATTGGTAGTGAAGAAATAAGTTTTGGTTCATGGAGCAATGGCACAAGTACTAGGGAAAGCAGGAATGATTATCGTTGTGAGATCCTTCTGAATTGTATTGGAAATGGTGTACAGGCAAATAGTATAACTGGGATTGTAGACAGGGCTTTAAACTTAATAGTGGGAGTGGTGGGAGTGTTCATTTTAAGATAATATTTGGAAAGTCCTTTTTTTTTTGTTTTAAAACAAAAAGGACAAGTCAATAGGGCAGTGTCATACTGTGGGTGGTAATAACCAGATGTGACAGGAGGGGACAGAGCATGCAAACAGAGATATAGTGAGAGGGCCATATTAGTAGAACAGGGAAAAAATGGTGAAAATACAGAATTAAAGCCTCTAAACTGATTGCATCAATGTTTGTAATAAGATGAATAAATTGATAGCACAAATAAGAATGAGTGTCATAACTATGACTGAAATATGATTACAGAAGTCATGGCTAGATTCTGAATATTAAAGGGTATTAGACAATATGGGAGAATAGGAGGAAAGGACAGGACGTAGAGTACTTTTTGGAAAAGTTTCAGTGATTGGCTAGCCACAGTGATTTTACAATTAAGTTAAGTGAATGGAAAATGATTTGGCAACTGGCGTATAATGTGGAAAAATAAGACATCCCTTTGACAGGAAGAATAGAAAACAATGCATGAAGATCTGGGTGTCCTTGAATCAGAATCTCAAATGTAATGCATATACAGTAAGTAATGGCTATAAATATTGGCGTTTATTGAAAGGGGGCATCGAATATAAAAGTAAGCAGTCTTGCTACACCTTTACAGGGTGAGACTGCTCCTGACGTATTATGCCCATGTTTTGGTCTCATTACTTGATGAATATGCTTGTTTTGCAAGCAGCACAGAAACCCTTTGATATGCTGATTTCAGGATGATCATTTCAGTTTAGGAGAATTAAGGGTGATCCTATTGAAACATCAGATTTTGAGGGGGCTTGATGGTGCTGAGAGAATGTTTTTCCCCCACATGGGGGTTCTAGAACTAGGGATACCATTTTAAATGGGAGGCCCTTATTTTTATGTTGATAGTGTGGAATTTCTTCTCAAGGTTATTCTTTGGAAATGTCTTCCACAGAGAGCAGTGGAAGACCGTTCAAATATATGTAGTCTTGAGTTAGATGCGTTTTTGATTGACAAGGAATTCCAGGGTTATGGGAGTAGATAGTAAATTGGAGTTCAGGCCACAATCTGATTAGATGCAGTCTTTTAATGGTGGAGCTAGTTTGATAGGGCTGAATGGCCTGCTCATGTTTTTTAGGATCACAACCGCCAATTCTTAATTGGCGCCATCTGTTTTTACTATCACAACCTACTTCGGTGTTGACTGAAGGAGAGGTGTTTAAATGAAATCAACCAGAGGTTATTTTGCATTCTTAAGTCCGATTGAGCACCTTTGCAATGTTCACATTTTTATTGAATGGTATTTAATGACCAAACATAATGCATAGCCTCTGCAAGCAAGAGTCATGGTTCATTAGAATCCTATTCCAATTAAGTACTTGCCAAAGATGTTTATCAACTGCGTAGCCTTTTACACTTCATTAACCAGTACGTTTCTGTAGCAACTGATCTGTGAATCACAGTCGTGCTTCCACCTTCAATGCCGAAATGCCTATTATTCTGTCTCATCCTGCTCATCCTTCCTTGTGTTACCCTCCTCTTTAAGCCCAAGACTTGGACCTGAAAGTTGATGATCAGCTCGTTTCAGCATTCACCGCCAGATCTGTATGGACCACCTAAATTAGTATCATGTTCTGCTCTTGACTGCCAAAACTATTCACTGTCCCAAATTCATCTGGAGTGCAAATAAATCCCCTGAGTCCTCTGTTCCAAATTGATATTTTAAACCTCTTTCCCTGCCTCCTTTCACCCTTGCCTTCAACTCATGCAATCTGCTTATTGTGTCAGTATGATTGACACTGTTAGCTGTGTCTGCTGCTTCACTCGGCCAAGCCATATTGTTTCTGAATTTCCTTAGCACCTAATCCTTTTTGATCTCTTACCTTCCTCGTATCCTTGGAGTTTCTTTTCATAAGATCCACTTCCTAATCTCTCAAATTTATTCCCCTCAAACTGCTTATCAGTCGTCTTTCCCAAAATGGGACTGATGTTGTAGAGGCTGTTCTCCTTTTATTATTGCCTCTCACCTCAATAAGCCTGCCCTTGATCCCTCTGCCCTTACAAACTGTCCTTCTTCTCAAACATGGTGTCCAAAATAAAATCATAGATTATGAGTATATCGTTTGGTATTTTTTTGCTCTGTCTATTTGTATCATTTGTGCTGGGCACATTGGAGGTGAGCAAGCTGATTAGATTTTGACAATCCGTCTTTGTGTTCAATTAGGGTGGCAGGCAGGATTGGAGTCTGCAACAGCCAGGAGTATTAACCAGGATGCCAAGTTCTAATTTTTCCTTCAATTATGCCTGCTGGAAAATGCAGCTGTCCCAATGTTGGTTAAAGAGTGGAATAAGTTCATCCAACAATGTATGTGGTCAAATATTCCACTATTAATATCTGGGCATGTCCATGAAGAAAAATGTTCATGGAAAGGCAGTCGCTGTTCATAAGCACTGAAAAGTAAGGAGCAGTAAAAGGTAGAAAAGTGAAGGAAATCCAGAATTATAGTCCTTTTTCTTCAGGGAGTTGGGGGTTTAAATGTTGAATTTAAATCTCAAGCATTCTTGTTGGAGATCGGGTTACTGAATGACGATGAAAATCACACTAGGAATTTTGTATCCTGAAACTAGGAAAGCTGGATCATGTCCTGCAGGGCACCTACCAATGCTGCTACTCATACAAAATCGAAAATATGGTGATCTACTGAATTGTCTTATTATTACATCCTATAATGCTGAAAATGCATAGCATCTCTGTTTGTTTAGAGTTCATTAAACAAAGCATTTTACAGGTTCCTGAGGCAACTGTTTTGGTCTTTAGTGGCCTATTAGGATTTGTTTATTAGCAGAAGATTTGGTAATGCTTTGTTTACCTGAAAATTTTCAATGCTTCTACTGACCTTCAATTGGGATCCCAATTAAATCTAGTCAAACTTCTACTACCAAATGAACATTCTTGCAAGCAAGGGTTTTGCTTCCTTGCTGGAACCTGTACTATTTTATCTGTACTTTGACAGGGCGATCCTTGGGATTCATGCTGAGTTTTACATTAAAGGATACAAATGAAACTGCTTACATTTGAGCAGTGTAATTGTTGTCCCACTGTTTCATCTGCTGCCTTGCATATCAGAAATATTTTCCATCATGTAGATGCTCAGACTCTTAAACATCTGTATCCCAGCAATTTAAGTGATTAGAGTGCAGGTCTATTGCCACTTTTACAATCTTACTCCACATTTTGTGTATTTATACAAAGGTATATTGGTTATTCGGGTCTTAAACAAGATCTAAGTCTTGAGATCATCTGCAGGAGGGTTGGAAATGCAATGAGCCAAGGTAAATTGTTATGTAAGCTTTTTGTTTCATGTATGCTTCATTTTCTTATGGCAGGACATTTAGTTTAAACTATTTGAAGAGGGTACTAGTTGCATGTGGCCCTACTTTTAAATTCTATACCTGCTTGACAAATCCTAAGTCTCAGAAATACAAAACCTCCATCTGTACCATTTTTTTCCTGATCTTCAAAATTTCGAAGTTTGAAGTCCGTGCACACAAACAGAAGATATAGATTGTAAGCTTAGTTCATGAAATCTGTAGATTTGTTTTAGAGAATATCATGTTTTAAAAAATTGTATTTGTAACGGCTTTATTCTATGACTCTTCAGTTAAATCTTCTGCTTATACAAGGTGGTTTATTCAGCTGTGATTTTCACCTTTTTTGTAGTTTGTCTTCTTGACATGATAGCGCTCAAAATTCTTTCCATTTTTCAACAGTGACTACATTTCTTGTGTTTCATTAACTATGAAGTGCCTTGTGATGTACTGAGGTAATAGAAGGTGCTATCAAGGTAATTGAGAAGGGTTTGGTGATGGTATTAACATGCTGCTGATGTGCCATTCTTGAAACCACTGGGTGGCACAATAGATCATTTTACGGTGCAATCTTCCAATTTCTGGATTATAAAAGACTGGAGACACCCACTGGGGCCTGAAAAATTCCAACACTCTGACTACACATGATTGCATGGATGTTAAAACGCACAATGGGCAATTACCTGGTGTCACTAACTCTGAGTTAGAGTCTGAGACTTCACTTCAGGCTTATTTTAATAGTTAGCCAGGAAAGAGTCAGGATGTTAAAATCTATTCTGTCTCATGGCTAATTATTAAGCTGACATGCCAACCACTCACTCTGACAACCTCTCTGGACCAAACAGAAGCCAATATCCAAACCCCTGCTGACATTCAACTTATCACCCACCCTGACACCTAAACACACCATACACACCCCCGACACCTGACTGTCACCCTACTCTGTGTCTCCTTGCTTGCCACCTGTTCCCAACATCCACGTGACACCCTAACCCTGCCCATTTGTCTTCTCTTTCTGGCTGAGAGGGGCTTTGGGACCTTTATAAAGTGTGTTTACTTACTGTGATATGGTGACTATTGCTGTAAAAGGAGAGAATGGTCTTCCCGACAATGCATTCCAGTTCCTGAATGTTTTGCTAAACAGAGTCTGTTGTGATGGATCCTGCACCATCTGGAAAACATCCTGGGAAGGTAAGTGAGCAATGTTTTGTCTGACCTCTGTTGGAAATGGGGATTGTGACCCAGGCCAGAAAAATCAGGCCAGATAAAGAACTGTGGATGCTGTAAATCAAAATCAAAAACAGAAGTTGCTGGAAAAGCTCAGCAAGTTTGGCAGCATCCATGAAGAGAAATCAGTGTTATCGTTTCGGATCACTAGATTTCTCTTCACAAGTGCTACCAGACCTGCTGAGCTTTTCTAGCAACTTCTGTTTTTGGTTCAGGCCATCTGTTCATCCAAGTCTAAAGGTTGAATTTTTGCCATGGCCTTCTGGACGTGGAGGCTGGTGTGAGAAACAAGTGCTGAGCCAGCAGGATTCACTCATTTACTTCAGCACAAGCTGCCTCCTGATTTTGTTTGTTTGCTAGCTATTGAACTCAGTGCCCAATTAAACATGGCAAATAGGCTCCTGATGCCGCTGGCTGAGTCGGCGGTCAGGGATGCCACTGGCACAGGTGGAGTTGACCATGCAGGTGGGAGAAGTTGGGCACTTCCACGTGAGTGAATTGAAAATCCCAACCCCAGTGGTTCCAGGGCTGGAGGGGAAACCTCATCAGGGTGATCCATGGGGCTGCTGTCCTGTCTTTTCTGCCAATCTGTAATGGCTGTTTTTGGGCTATAGAGTCCCTGGTGCCAATTGCCCTCACCCCACCCCAAGAGCATGGCAGTCATGACCTCTCTAAGCAAGTGGGGGGTGGGGGTGCAGGCAGAGAGTCATCGGCTAATCGCAAAATGCCAGCAAATCTGTAAAATTGCCTTTTTAAATGTATCAATCCACAATGTTGGGTGGCTATGCTATGAGGCAGCCTGCAGCTGGGAAAATTCCCTGGGGAGGGGGCAGACTGCTTATCAGGAGCTGTCTTCACATGGCTCCTGGCTGTTGTATCAACAATGACCCCACCGCCCAAAAAAAGCCCTTCCAAGCATCCCAACAGTGAAATGGTGAAATTCTCACTGAAATGTCTCCAACTATAAGAATCTCTAATAAGAGGACATTGGGCTGACTTGACCCCTATAAAGCATAATTTAAACACAACTTGTAAAAACATTTCATACTAAATTGGTTTAATTTCACACTGAAATCACAGGGTTGCTGTGGGCAACAGAAAGTGGATGAATGCACAATGTACTGAGACCCATTATTAGGGCCAAACAGAGTGAGTGTTTCACCAAATCTATTTTTGGTGCATAAGAGTGGACACCAGAAATAGAAAACTTGAAGCAGTCATTTTACACACTTGCTTTTAATAGATCAAATACTTACAACAGGGATTAGATTTGTACAAGCAAGACTTAGGTTCAATGTCTGGTCCCGACCCTGTTAGAGTCAACAACAAGGATGCTACAATGCCCCTAGATTAAAGAGGGGGAGGGAGGAAGAGAGTTAACCATGCTTCTATTTCTAGTTAGTATCCAGAAGCACACTACTGGAAATGTGAGATTGAATAGCCTTCCTAAACTCAGAGGCTAATTCTTACAGAATTGCACTGCAGGAAGTTCACACTACTGTTCCAGCAGATGGAGAACTAAGAATTGGAAGAAGTAGGGAAAAAGAACAAAGTTGAAAATGTTGATGGATCCAATTGTCCATGGTTACAAGAAATTGTATAGTTTTGAGGTGGTGTCTAACAATTAGCTCCATTAACAAATGTCAGTGTGGTCAGCCTATCTTTATATCTACTCAGTAAGCAGATGCTTGGTCAGCTGTAGTAATGACAAATTAATTCCACCACCATTTTATTAAAAACAATCGGACAATTAGGCAAAGTTAAAGCCTCGATTCCAAACCAAGTGTTCATTATTTCACCATTTATTTATTGGAAAAACAAAAGGGCTGTTGTGGCACAGTGGTAGTGTCCCACTCTCTGAGCCAGAAGGCCCTGGTTCAGGTCTAGCCTGAAGTGTATAATAACATTGCTGATTAGAAAATATCTATTTGGAGATCAAGATGTTGAATGGAGGAAAACGAACAATTCATGTCCCAGAGTCCTGTTTAACATCAAATCCATGCACTGAACATCAGCCATTGCTTGCCAGCCTGTCTTAGCATCATGCGCAATAAAGAAAAATTAAGCCTTTTTGGGAGTGCAATTTATGATGTGGAGATAAAGAATGCAATCTGTTATATCCTTGACTGTTTCTGTCATTGGAGATTATTCTTATTACCACACACTGGTTTTGCTTAAGCCATGCATTTAGGCTGTGAAACCATTTAAGTAGGCTTAATGATGTATGTCTCAGTCACAAACACTGATGTAAGCTTCTGTTTTTAGTGCTCAACTAAAATTAAATCTATCCTCCATTGGAGAGCTTAGATGCTGTGTTTACGTATAAT